AAGAGTGCTTGGTGACATGAAGCCTAAAAAGGCCTAAAAACCTAGCTCAGTGGCTGGCACATGGAAGAGCTACTACTTTCATTGGGTTTTCTGGATAAAATCCTTGGCTTTAGCAAGTCGAAACATTTGTTGCTGATTTTATGAAGACCAGCTTTAGGAGAAAAGAACAGGAGAGTTGTGCAATCAATGTCAGTGAAAGGGAGTGGAGAACCAGAACAATGGATAGGTGGGGACACCTGTTCTCAGGCTGAATGAAGGCATCAGCGGTGATTTCTGTCCTGATACAAAGACTCCACATTGTATGCTCAGGCAAGCGGAAAACAAAAGAAATATAAGAATGGCTATTTCTTTTTCTTTTGTGGGTGCCAGGAAACTCTGCTTTCGTCACTGGGTACCAATGATGCAGGCTCTGTACAGGCCTCTGTGAATGACAGCATTGGTGTGGTCATGCATTCCAATCTGGCACCTCATATGGACATTACTGCTCAGGTTACAGAACACGCACTGCCAGGCAACATTGGTTCCTATGATCTGTCTGCAGCTTTGTTGGAGAGCTAATACTCCCATACGTGTATGCTAAAAATCCAAGTCTTATTTATTTGTGTAAATCAAATTCTCCTCTTCAGGTCCCAGTGAAAGGCTCAGGGTAAACCTTATATTACGGTTCTCTTGTTTCTAGTTGCTTTTTCTTATGCCATACTCTTTGTGGAATTTCTGAGGTTTCCCAGAGTTCTCTGGGTGCTTAGGTAGCTGAATACTCATGGGTAATGCCCCAAATTCACTTAACCTCTACAGCATCTTGCTCTTCTGCTAAAAGTATGATAGTGCTATTCAACTGTATTTTGTTCACAATTTCTCAAATTAAGGTTACCATCCCTTTATTATTCCAAGAAAAACCATATTTAGTTTTATAGAGATATTATAATTCTGTTAAATACAACATAACTTTTGAATCTTAAATTTAAAGCCAGCCTTACATTTAGCACTTGGGTTTACACTGTCTATAAGCATCACACAGAAAAGGGATCATAATTTCACATCTGGAGTTGGACATGTGGAATACTGTTCTTGATGGGTACAATAATTAAACACTTTTAGAGCATTATTTTTGGAATCACCAAGGAAAGAAATCACCACCTTTTTCCTTTTCCTTTTCAATTATAAATCATGAACTGCTTGGACTCTGCATCAAGTCAGAAATCACCATTGGAGCTTTTATTTTAGCCATACAGCATGTCCTGAAATTAGTAGTTTCTCATTTTCCAATGCAGAATCAATAGTGTGAGAATATCCTTTTGAGACTGCAAGGACGCTCTGAACTCAGAGCACGACTTTCACCAGTGTGAATGAGAGCAAAGAGGCTGAGGACCGCGAGCGCTTAGTTGTGAGCTGTAACGCTGGGTGTGATGTTTATGTTCCTAACAAGAATCATTTGTACCCCAGAATCAGCAAAGAGAAAGAAAAGAGTGAGGCATTCCATGGGGATGACATCACCGACTCTTCATTCTTACAATATTCCAATCACTTCGAGTGTATTTTAGGCACAGACTTGGTAATAGATTTACAGATCGTCTACTGCCATCCAGCTTATAGTATATTTTTAACCTACACAAGGCCACCCTGAGAATGCTTTCTAGTTAGATATTCAGTGCTTAGTCATAACTATTAATTTTGCCATGTAATATTTTCCTTAGTTTTAAGTTTAATTATTATATTCAGTTTCAGTAAGTAAATTAAAATAGGATCAAACAATTATGTTTAGTAGCCCTAAGTGACTTTCAAATGAATAAAAAATATATACACAAAATAAGCATCATCGTGATTTTGTATGTGGCAAAACTAGCTACCTTCTGGAGATAATAAAAGATAAAAAGCAGACCACAAACTAGCCATTTGAAATGAACTATTACCCATCGGAACTTGGATGAACTATCACTTTCTGGATAGAGCCTTGTCTGGCCTTCCGGCCTGATGGGATGGCTTTCCTCTGCTCCCCCTACCCATCCCATGACCTTTGCCTGGGTCTCAGGGTTGTCTGTTTCCCTTACTACATGGGAGTTCTTGAGAATAGCCCACACCTTTCTAAATTTGTCTCCCGCATAATGACTAGCACATGGTCTTAGTTTGAGCCCTACAAAATTGCTATTTTTAAGGACCAAAATGGCAAATATGAGCAATTTCTTAGGGTTCAATCTAACAGCTGCTAAAATCCATGACTATTAAATGAACAAGCAAATGAATTCATGTATGGTAACGAGCACGAAGCCAGCTTTACAACAAAGAACCACAGTGATAGCTTCTCACCAAAGAGAGTTCAGCAGACATTTTAGAGAGCCCCAGTGCCCAGAACTTGGAATAGAATCACAGATGTAATCAGAGGTAGACCAAGAGATTTCTAAGGTATGGCAAAAGCTTTACAGATCTTGCGATTTTTCAGCCTCAAGGGGAAAAGGGTTAGGTCTCCATTTTTGCAACAAAGCTCCAGCTCAAATTATAAGCATTGAGATAAAAAGGAAAGACTTTCCTGAGAGGGCAGAATGAAGTTTTTCTCTCTGCATATCTAAAAAGTAG